GATCACAGCTCACACCAGCCAGCTGTGTGTGCAGACCATTCGCTGACTTCCCATCTCCTGACTGGTGATCTGAAGTAAAGACAAAAGGCTGTATCCAGTTACCAGTCTCTGAACAATCCTGTATTTTATAAGTATCACATATCATAAAATGAAACCAAGATACCACTGTTTCAGCAATGTTAGGTAAATAATACACTGTCTGTTGTAAGCTATTCTCTGTCTGGAAAAATACAGGCAGATTCCCCTTCCCTCCCAGCTTTAATCTCCACTAGTTCCCCTGGAGTCTCCTGAATTGTTTGTACAACAGCCACTGCAAATGTAGCTACTTTTTTAAATGACTGTAACAAATAAAGTTGAAAAATGCACACTACGAACTAGGGCTGGAAAAGGGATCAACCCCTTCAGAGCCAAGTTAAGTGTTGGAGCCAACCTCCTGATATCCTGAAACGGCCTCCTCATAGCACAGACACTGAAAATGGCATAAAATAGCCTTCTTGAGGCTTGCAAAAAAAAAAATAAATAAATTTCCAGTTACATTTTCCTACAGAATTCCCATTATTTCATCAAATTGTCCGAATGCTGTACTCCTCAAACTGGGTACCAAACCCTGAAAGACTAACCCAGGTGAAGGACGCAAGCTAGTGCACTATTCTACCTGATGCAAAAAAATTCAGTTAGTTCTCTGCTAATGAGATTGAGGAATATAACAGGATGGTCTTGAGGGACAAGAGGCAATAGGTAGAAGCTGAGCAAAGAAAATTCTGATTAACTACAACGAAAAAAATCTTCACAAATAAAGTGTTGAAGCACTGGAATTGAGGCCCAGGCAGGCTGGGGCACCTCAGTCCTCAGAGATGGCCAGAACAGGCTGGTCAAGTCCCTGAATAGCCTGACTTACCTTTGAAGTTGTCCCTGCTTTGGGCAGCGACTGGGGCTCTGTGACCTCCAGAGGTCCCATCCAGCCTCAAGATTCTGGGAAGCTGGATCCCAGCTGCTCGATGAAGCCAGACCCACTCACTGCTGCACTTCAGAAGGGAACTGAGAGTGATGATGCAATGGGCCTCCAGGGGGGTCAAAATAAATCCAGCTATCTCTAGGTCCCACAGTGTCAGCAAAATACCCACTGAAAGCAATTGTCTCCGATTCCCCACTAGCCTCCTATTTAGAAAGGGCAGGGGAGAGCCGAGCCATGTGCCTCAGTGCTGCTGGTTTGCTCTAAGGTTGATCCTCTTAAGAGATGTTTTTAAAAAATCACCTTTTGCAGGGTTCATTGTAAAGCCTCAGGAAACATTCACTGTGCCTGGGAACCTGGCTGTGTTAGAGGAGGCCATACACATCACTCACAGCAAACACTCCCTGAGAGGGCCACAGAATGCCTGAACATACAACCAAAACCACCCTTTGAAGCAGACCAAAGATCACAGGCCATTCCTTTTTGCACGTGCTGTCTGCTTTGAGCTCTGCTGACACATGTATTTTCACCATGTGATGTTCCTGATTTCTGCTAAATTACTGCATTTTACATTGCTGTCACTGCTCCTGTTATGCTTTTGGGAGAGGAAAGACAGCGTAGTCTTGTCTTGTTCTTCCTGTTTATTCAGTACATGGCATGGTTTGCTCCCTTATTTTCCCCTTTGTTAGGCTTTTCTTTCCTCTTTCAAAACTTGTAGGACTCTTCTGTTTCTTTTCTTTCTGCTCCAGGTTAGTATGGCAGCATGCCATGTGGAAGTGCTTGATCTGTGCACACAGTTCTGAGACAGGTTTTATGAGTGACTGCTCTTTTCAACAGGCACAGGAGCAAAATGGCATTTCTCAAACACTGTGTGCAAAGACACTGTAAAGAATGTTAAGGAGTCAGAGGGATATAACATAATTTGAAGTATTATCCTGTGATCCTGAACCTGCTTTCAGTAAAACTGAATCAGTAACATATTTATATCTTAGACACAAGATCTTATTTAATCTAGGAGGTTATTATGAACGATTTAAAATAAAAATGGATTTTAATGATCTGTAATGGAAATGTGTGTAGCCAGCTTCAGGGTAACTACTGCAGCACTTTGCCTGCAGTGGTAATGCACAGCTGCCTATCAATTCTGCAGCGCACAATCACCCACAGTTGGCAACAGGCACAGCAAACAAGAATTGATGTCTTTTGTTACAGTCAGGTGGTAATGCTGCTGTCCAAGGAAGCAGAGAGACTTCCCATTCCTTGAAGAGGTTACAAGTAATTGCTTTTCCATCAGTCCTTGATGTAAGACGTTAAATGTGGAACCTCGTGTTTTTATTCACTAAAAGAATTCTTACTCTTTACAATCAGCAACAATGGACTGTTGCTCCAAGTGCACAGAAAAGTCTTGGCAGCAGCACGATGAAGAAAAGGAAAACCTAACTTTTCAGTCTGATTGCAACATCCAACTTCTGGCACACCAGCAAACTCACGCCAGCTTGAAGAGCAAAATGTCAGCCAAGTTTCAGTACTTTGTCTTGCATTTGTGGGATTTATATGTGGCTGCTGAGGCCTAATTCTCTTCTCACTCAGGCTTTTAAAATTCAAAGTCTGTCTTTTGTTCACAGAGATAGGTGGTACCAACAGGACACTGTGAGACAGCTTCCAATACCAGCTCTGGAAGTAGCTCCTCTCCTGCCCTTAGGAAGTGAAAGCACTGAAGAGAGGAAATAAACTGGGAGGTATAACAATAACTTTTCAACTTCACAGCACATTATGGGGAATTGAACTAATGGTCATAAGGTGTTTTGAAGATCAAAAGGGCTAAATGCTAATTATTTTGTAATTTTTTTTTTTTTTTTTCACCATAGGCAACTTTAGACAGCAACGTTCTGTCGGGATAGTCAACCCTTACTTCCAATAGGACACGTGATCGGCAGTGACATCACCCCAATTCGTTTCTGTGTATCTACTCATCCAACTACCACTCAAGTACACCCAGGCACAGTCTGTCTTCTCACAGCCCATTACCTTCTGATGGGGTAAGAGGATGTCTTAATTGTGCCATCTTACATAGTCTTTAAAAACATTTCTAAACTTGGGTGCTTTACACTCTTGCTGCAAGTAGAAAATTATGTAAATAGTTTTTGTTACAGCACTCTCTGCCAATCTATTTCTAACCATGTGCTACTGTTAAAAGGGAATGTAAATTATTCATCTTCAGTGCTGTTTAATGAAGTCTTTAATGTACAATGGTGTCTGTTAGATGCTTTCTTTTTCCCTTTTTTATTCTAAAATAAACCTCAAAGAGAAGATGATGGTGTACAGTTCTGGATAAACAAATAAATGTCACAAAAGTCACACAGAACACCAGTAAATAATCATTTTAATACTCTGTGCTTTCAACTACTACTGTGGAAGACTTGCATATTAAAGGATGACATAGTTTTATCTTTCTTGCTGGTTTTCACAGATGGGGTCACAGGGCAGTATGTCTACTCTCTTAAAGCCAGGCTGGATGTTGTCCTGGGCAAGCTCATCTAGTTGAAGACATCCCTGCTCATTGCAGGGGGTTTGGACTAGATAAGCTTTGGAGGTCACTTCCAAAACCAAGCTAAATGATTCTATGATATCCCAAGTAGACCTCTTGAGTCTTTCGGGCACTAAGTGCAGATTCTCCTTTGTTTACAATACTGTTTTCAGTGTATAGCTATAAACATCCTACCACGTGGATAAAGATGCAAGTATAGTAAAATATCTGTGATTTGTTACAGCTTCTATAGGAATGCTAATTGCAACACTGCACAGGCTAGCCGAACATCTGCTGCCAACAGCACACAGCAAAATGGGCATCCCAGCCACCCTGAAAATATAAAGGCATGAGAGCACATTCATCTATAAGGAGAGAAAGAAGGAAGTCAAATTTATATACTGTCCATATTAAAAAAAAATTACATGAAGAGTAAGGTCGAATCAAAGTATCTCAAAAGTGTATGCAAAATTGAACGTTGCCCTAGAGACGTGCAACAAGGACAGGGTTGTCACTAACAGAAAGGAGGGAGAGGAGGCTGCTGTTCCTGCAGCACTGGCAGAACGATAGGTGCTGCTCTTCTGGGGAAGGACTGTTCCTTCTTGGTAACCACTGCCCTCAAACCATCTCTTCCTGGCAGCGGCGGCAGCAAATGCAGTTTTCTCAGCAGCACAAGATACAGAGGCCCCTGCACTCCATGCAGCCTGTTCACCTCCAGGGATCTTGGTGCAGACTAAACACCGGGGAGCAAATCTAAAACAAACCAAATGCTGCAGTACAGGCTTCAGAGCTCTCTTGCACAGTTGCACAGTTGACGTGCTTCGTGGCTGTTAAAGGCACTTCTGAGCATTTCAAGGGGAAAAAACCCAACACATTTCCCATTCTTTAACATGAATTCCAAGTCGATAATACACCCTACAGAAGTTTTTAGACACGTTCCCAGTTTTAGTCTTAGCAACAGGTACAAGTTAAATGACTCCTACTGCAGTCAGAGGAGCGGGGCGCAGGCTGCTGCCAGGTTGGCTATGCAAGCACCACGGGACGTGCTCCCCCTTCGAGCCTTCCCCACACGGGATGGCCTTTCCCTTCGGTTTTTCTGCTTGGCGGCAGCGGGACTGCGCTCCTCCGGTTTTATCTGCGAATCGCCACCTCTACCATTCACCTAGCGCCCCGTGAGGCAGGCGGCAGCCGCAGGGCTGCCTTGTCCCGCTGCGCCTCGCCCACTCTCCCAGAGGCGGCTCCCGCACACCAGGGCAGCTTCGCTCGGCTCCCGGGGCAATGAGGCCTGAGGGGCTGCGGGCGCCCCCCTCACAGACACCGAGGGGACCCGCACCGCCACCACCGCCTTGGCGCCCTCCCACCCCTGCGCAATGCTCACGCACGCCTCCCCCACATCCCTCAACCGCCGCCGAGCCTCCGTGTCACGTGCTCTCCTTGCCCTCCCCAGCAGCCAATGGGCGGTGCCCCGCGGGCGGCAGGGCCTTTATAAGGCTCCGCGCAGGGCAGGAGCCGCGGGTGAGAGGCGGTTGTGGCGGTAGTTGTGGGGAAGGCGGGTGCGTGAAGGGGTCTGAAGGCTGCTCGGTAACTCGAGACATTTCCCTGTTCCGCCCGGGGCCCCGGGCCAAGCCGTTCGGGAAGGGGCCAGGTCTGTGCCCGCGCGGCCTGGGGCGGAGGAGGGGGTCGTGCCGGAGGCGGGCAGGCGGCTGGGAAGGGGAGGCCATGTCGGGGACGCGCGGCGTCTGAGGGGGTAGCAGTCCCCATCGCGGCGACTCCGGGAACCGGCGGCGGGAGCGGCCCTTCGCTCCTGCCGGAAGGGCTGGGGGCTTGGTGCTCCGCGGAGCCGCGGGAGCGGGTGCTGGCTGCGGGGCTCTGCGTGGGCTGCTCCGGGCTTGCCGCTGGGAAGCTGGGCCGGTCCCGTCGGGCAGCGGCAGCTCCGGTCGCCTTTAGAATTGCGGCTTGCGTTGTGTGCGTGTCTCCTCTCTTGTCGTTCCGCCTCCGTGTCGGAGCTCTTCGTCTCCTCTAACAAACTCTGTCTTGCTTCTTCCCCGCCCCCCACCCCGGGCTTCTGCTTTGTGGATGTTGGCGGCTTCTTGTTGTGACAGGAGAATGTGTGTGTGTCCTGGGCCCAGGCGGATCGGTATGTATCTCCACCGGTACTCGCAGGAGCGCTGGGGTCGGATGGGACCTGGGGAAGGGACTACCGGACCAGGCTGTGTCCTAGGGCTCAGAGCTGGCTGGAGGGAAGATTTAACGGTTCTGCTTGTGTTGAATGTTTCTTGCTCCTCCTCCCCCACACGTTAGTTGATTCAGGTCTGTCAAGTGTGTGAAAGGCACCCGGGATAACCGTTTTGACCTGGAGCCATGGGTGTCTTCTGGCACAGTTAGGCAGGTGTTTGGGAATACCTTTTAGCGCAGCATTGGTTGGCCTTAATAGTACAGTTAAAACAAGCCTTTATTAGAAAAAAAGGGTAATAAATGCTGCAAACCCCATAAATTGACCATTGACTCAGTATTGGCCATATTAAATTTGTAGCCTGAAAAGTAGCATTTGTACCCTGTCCTGGGCTTGGAGAGGTATTTTAACACTGTCTTGGTTCTAATTTCTTTAAATTGTGGTTTGATTGTAAAATTTTCTGCTTAATCTCTTTTTGTAAGAAATAAGAGATATTAAAGTAATAATTTAAGAACCATCTGGAGTGTCTTAGTTATATTTGAGGTATCTATGTTGTGGATGTAAGTGTGAGAGATTTCAATGATTTCAGGCTGCAGAACTTTGAACTTCTCAATCAACTAGGATTTATTAAATCTGATACATGAGACAGGCTGATACCTTAAGACGACATGGATCTACCGTAAATGATACTGGCTGTGGAAAATTTGAAGCCAACTTCTTACTACTTGTTCGATTTCATGTAATTGATAAACTAATGGTTAAAAATCAGCAAAACATCCTCAGGTGGCACTGCAGAGCCACTTTCAGAGCAGTGCATTTGTATTTTTGCTTCATCATGGATCAACGACATAACTGTCAGAACAGTTTTTGTGGCACCATGTATCCATTCAGTTGGAGACTTATGGGAGACTAGTGCTGAATCTGAAGTGTGGGCACATCCATAGAACTTTGAGGTTTCGTAAGCAAAACTGCTGCTTTTAGAAGTCCTGTGAAGACATACACAGAACACCTACCAAAATAGCTCCCTTTGTAACTGAAAAGCAATGGGGTAGATTAAAAAAAAAATAATCTGTATTTGGAGTTGCAGGTTTTTTGCTGTCATGCAGTATGTGTGTGAAGCCTAGGCTGGAGAAACAGACTTTCTGGGAAGCAGATGGCTTACAAATTCAGTATGCATCTGGAAGTTCAAGCCAATACACTGCTGCAGTTTCTGGGCATTGGATGTGGTCCACAGGACTACAGCTAGAGCTCTTCCTGGTAGTTGAACAGCAGAAAACTGGTTAGTTCATTCTTCATAGCTGTCAGTACAAGGCCTGGGAGAGGTCAATGCATAAGAATTTAAATGCTAAGTAAAGACAGGCCGTTTTTAATACTAGGGTATATGTACACCGTGGTGCCACACAAACTGGAAGTTTTACGTGTGGAAGGGGGGAAAAAGAAACAAAACCTGCTACGGACTTGTGATTGCCTAAAGAATATCTGCTGTCTGTCACCCTACTGCTTGCTTTTTGTGGTCTAAGCAGTTGTATGTCATCTCAAATTTCTTTCTTGAATCTTGCTGTTAGATACTTTATCTCTTCAACCTTATAGAGTTTTCCTCCCTGTGTGCCAGCTTTGTCAGCTGGGAAATCACCAGAAAACAAATCTCCATAAAATTCTTGTAAAAGGTGGCAAAACCATAGAGTGCTCCATGCTAAGTGTTGTCTTAAGTTCTATTTGAAGCTGCTTTGTCTGGATGATGTTTTCACTTCCTGCCAGCTGAGTGGGTATAAGCATTAAAGTATGTATGCTGAACTGAAGTATGGTATAGTGTTTTGTTACAGCCCAATGCAGTATCTATAAAAGCACCTCTTAATACCTTCTCATTCTCAAGACCCATGAAACTGAACTCTATATAGTAAGCAACTTTGTTAGAGACTGTAAATGTCTTAATACAGGGCTCTGGGGAAAAAATTGTTAGCTGTCCCCCTAAGCATAGTTGTTCTCTTGTCTTTCAGCAATTCCAGTCCGAAGCTCCAGGCTGCCATTGTTGTCTGATGCCATGCCAGCACCAGCTCATCTGTTTCCATTGATCCGTAACTGTGAGATGAGCAGAATAGGCAGTACTGTGTGTTACTGCCACCATAAACATCTGTGTTGCTTATCATCTCATTTTGCTCACAGTCACTTCAGATACGCACCTCAGAAGAAATTTGCAGCACTTTATAGGCCAAAGGAGAACTTTAATCACTTTATTCATGCAAAGGATTATGCTTCCACACCACAGAGATTTTACCTCACTCCTCCACAGGTCAACAGCATTCTGAAGGCAAATGAGTACAGTTTCAAAGTCCCAGAATTTGATGGTAAAAATGTAAGTTCTGTTCTTGGCTTTGATAGCAACCAGTTGCCTGCTAATGCTCCAATAGAAGACAGGAGGAGTGCTGCCACTTGTTTACAAACAAGAGGGATGCTTCTGGGCGTATTTGATGGCCATGCAGGGTGTGCCTGTGCTCAAGCTGTCAGTGAAAGACTGTTTTATTACATTGCTGTCTCTTTGTTACCTCATGAGACTCTACTTGAAATAGAAGATGCTGTGGAAAGTGGCAGAGCTCTGTTGCCCATTTTACAGTGGCACAAGCATCCCAATGATTACTTTAGCAAAGAAGCTTCCAAGCTTTACTTCAATAGTCTAAGAACTTACTGGCAGGAGCTGATTGATCTCAACAGTGGAGAGACTACTGATGTGAAAGAAGCTTTAATTAATGCTTTTAAGAGGCTTGATAATGATATTTCTTTGGAAGCTCAAGTAGGAGATTCAAATTCTTTTCTCAACTACCTAGTACTACGAGTAGCATTTTCTGGTGCAACTGCCTGCGTGGCCCATGTGGATGGTGTTGACTTGCATATTGCAAACACAGGTGACAGTAGGGCAATGCTTGGGGTTCAGGAAGAAGATGGATCTTGGTCTGCAGTTAATTTATCCTATGACCACAATGCACAAAACAAAAATGAAGTAGAGCGTGTGAAAACGGAACATCCAAAGTCTGAAGAGAAAAATCTTGTGAAACAGGATCGTCTCTTAGGTCTCCTGATGCCTTTCAGAGCTTTTGGTGATGTGAAGTTTAAATGGAGCATTGAACTACAGAAGAGAGTAATAGAATCAGGCCCAGATCAGCTGAATGAAAATGAATATACGAAATTTATTCCTCCAAACTTTCACACTCCTCCATACCTTACAGCTGAGCCAGAAGTCATATATCACAGATTACGGCCACAGGATAAGTTTCTGGTTTTGGCCACAGATGGGCTGTGGGAGACTATGCACAGGCAAGATGTGGCTAGAATTGTTGGGGAGTACCTCACTGGTGTTCACCATCAACAACCAATAGCTGTTGGTGGCTATAAGGTAACTCTGGGACAAATGCATGGTCTCTTAACAGAAAGGAGAGCGAGAATCTCTTCAGAGTTTGAAGATCAGAATGCAGCGACTCACCTGATACGTCATGCAGTGGGTCACAATGAGTTTGGCACTGTGGATCATGAGCGACTGTCCAAGATGCTGAGTCTGCCAGAAGAGCTGGCTCGAATGTATAGAGATGACATTACAATTATTGTGGTGCAGTTCAACTCGCATGTTACAGGTGCATGTCAAGATGAGGAACTGCGAGTTTAAGCTAGGAACTAGTTACCAAAGTTGTAACAATGGCCAGTATGACCAGCTAATAAAGAACAACCACCCAACAAAAAAACCTCCCAAAACCCTCAGCAAACAAGTTTGTTGCTTGTTAGATTCAGCAAATCTATTGTTTCTGCCTTCCCCTAGAGCTCTAAATACATGGGAAATGCTATTGACCCAATAAAAACTTGAAGATGATGTCACAGCTTGTAAAAAAGTTTTTGTAATAACTTTGCACTATTGATTTTATGAATGCTGCTAGAATAATGTCTTGAATTTGCTAGGCTTGGATGAGGGATGAAAGGAGGATAAAGAATTAACTATCAAAGATCTGGCTGTTCAAGAAAGAAAAGCCTGGTTATACATATCTGCAAGTATCTACACATAATCTTAAAGAAAAGATGAGTGTTCTTTTTTTTTAAAAAAAAGTTATTCTTACAGGGCTAATTCTTGCAAAGTAGATATGGTTATTTGTGAATATGCTGTCTGCTGTTTCTTCTAAGCAAAAGATTACTTTAACCAAGTAGGTCTTCAGTGTAACAAAGTTGTCTCACAATGTCTTTCACTTAAGGATAATTGTGTAGTGTTGACTTTCAGGTTTAAGCCATAATCAATACCTGAGATTCTGTTAGAGCTTAATTGTATCTTATGCATGGTAGCTTCTAAACTTGTGCAATAATAGTTAGCTGGCTGTCGGCTTCTGCACAAGTTGTAGGGCAATAATACATTACAACATGCAGTAAGATAATAGATAATTCTGTGGAAGTCTCAGTTTGCAATATGAAGGGATTTTCAGGCTTCTCAGAAAGTCAGTGTTGTTGGTCAAGACTGTTGGCTTCCCTACAGTTCATGGCCTTCATGGACTCCGCACTGTCTGGTGTTACTTACCTAGTAATTGAATTTTCATCTGAAAAGATCAGGAAGTCATTGCTAACCTCTGTGGCTTTGTAGTTTGCACTCATTTCCCCTTTGGCTATTTCAAATGCTCAGATTTAATGTCTTGCACTTGAACTAATATTTGTAAGTCAGGTTAAAAAAATGTGTGCATGTTTAGTGGCTTTTGCTAGCAGCTTCTTTATTAGCAGCTCTATTTCTGGGCAGCTGGTGTATGCATGTTCTTAAGTCTAGAATGCTATCACAAGAGCAGTTTCTGAAATGGGTCTCCCTAGCTTGTAATGGTTAAATTTGAACTTAAAAGACTGGCTATAACTTGTGTGCCTAAAGTTGTTGGGCTTGTAACTGTAAAAAGTAGGGACAGCAACTAATTTAGCAGTTACAATTACAGCTATTCTAGGTTGGTTGCATTGTATAGAGATTTGTTTTAACCTGCCCTAAGGTTTACATCTAAAATGCTGGCTGAGCTACCAGCCCTTGATGACTGGCAGAGCACATGTAGTGTGATTCCTGTAGTCTGGAGAACTGTAGATCAGCTTATTTCAGTTTACAAAGGTGTTTCTGTTAAAATACCTGTCTAGCTATCATCAGAGCTAATCAACACCTCGGAGATCTAGGTTGCTCTGGTTAGTTGAGTAATGTGGCATTTTCTGCTGCGTACAGATATTGCCAATTAATGCTACTGTTACATAGGGCACAGTCTGAGCAATCAACCTATGTTATAGTAAACATTGGCTCCTCAAGACTCTCAAATGCTATGTGTACTTAGTGGCCTGCAGCTTTAACTTGTCTGTTTCTTTTGTCAGCCTCAAACATCAGGAACAATGTTGCTGTAAGCTTAATATATCTAAGCTCACATTCAAGATGTGCACAACCCTTCTTTATTTGAAGGGAAAAGGGGAACTCTGAAATGCTAGACGAGTACTGGCTGTTGACTTTGCTTCTGTATGTTGTGTTTTGGTGACTGTGTCATTAGCTAGGTCATAGACTTTGTTCTGTCATTCAAAAGCAGTATGTATCTAAACTGTTGCAGTATTTAACTTTCTTACTTTTTTACTGTTAAAGCTCTGTTACATGTATTAGTGTATTTAACCTGTGATTGTTAATACGGATTTGGTACAAGTCATTGGTAGAAGAAATGAACACTGGTCCCATGGATACAACTTTTATTAAGGCAAAGCTGCTTTTTGTAGTAAAGATACATATGTATGGAGTTGTAAAAATATTTATGTATTGCTTGGAGACTTGCTCAGTATGTATGCAGTGAACAGAAGCAGCATAACTGCCTGATCAACAGGTGATCTGAACAAACACCTAACAGATTTCAATAAAATGATCAATTACGCAGAAATCCATGTGTATTGGGTTGATGTAGAGTATGATAGCAGTTCTGCTAAGGCTGAAGCTTATGAATTACTTGTATTTCAATAATATGTTGTTTTCAAGTCCCTCTTACGAACAGAGCAGATGTCCAAATCCAGCAAAGTATAAATGAAAACAGACTGAGAATTTTACTTCAGAGCTCTCAAATTCTACTGTGAGGCGTGAACCCTTGCATCAGGGCTGCTGGTGCTGCTGCTCCTGGCAGCAGTGTTCAGATTGTTCTGTCAGTATCCCTGCATGTCTTGGGTCCCATCATCTCATGATTACCTTCAGGGGCAAGTGCTGCAGATAAAACAGTATAGCTTGAAATTTTTGGTTACGGAGTGTACCCTATGTAGAGCAGTACAACATTTCATAAACAATCCAACATGTGCAGATTAAAATGCCTGAGAATGAATTAATGATAAACTAAATAGAAACAGCTCTTCTGCCGCAGGTAGCGGACATGTTCCTCTCATGTTGTCATTCAGATTGCATTGCGGAAAGGATGGCTTTACATGCAGGTACATGTGATTACCTGTCCAAATAAGGATTTCACAACTGCAAATATATGGCTCAACCCAGCATATCTGAATCCTGAGAGTCAACACAGGCTGTCAACACAACCTTTAAATCTTTAAAATTGTTCTGCATGAATGTGTCAGAACTGTTTAACAGTAATACTAGGTAAAAGAGGAGTGGGGAATCTTATCTTAGTCTATGCTTCTAACTTGAGGCTCTGTTAACTCTGTTGCCTTGTGTTCCGAGTGGTATGTGCATTCTATTTGCTTTTGACAATATTTTACAACCACTATTGTGATAACTTCTATATTCTCCACTTGCCTTCTATGTGTGTGGCTTGGTGAGTACAGAACTTAAATTATTTTCCCTTTCCCCTGACTTCTCATTGCAGGGCAGAGTTTGGCATATGGCAGACATGTAAAACATGACACATAAGATATGACAGCAGGGAGCATAGTCTCAAGAAATGTTTGTAATTAGACTCTTAAACTCTGGTCACTGTACTTAGAATAATTCTGGAGTGAGAGGATGTCTTGGTAACTATTTTGATAAGTGCTCTGCAGAATGGCTTGCCTGCTCTGTTCCTTCTCAAGAGAGAGGCATGTTTGTAATGAGGTTATCTGGCATAGGTGGATAATTCAGGTTTCTAGTTCTAACCATCTGTGGTGTCTATGCTCTCTGATGCACACAGTCCATCTGGTTTCATGACTAATAAATATGTGCCATTGGATTTGCACCAGTGACCATTGTGAGCCTAAACTATTGAACGCTGTCAGTGCTGCTGCACAGCAGTCCAGAACAATGCTGGCACGAAGCTTTTTTGGGATGCCAAGGAAGTTGGCAACTTCTAGTTGATTTGTTTGATCCTTATGTCAGAAACTTGTGTGGCTCCTGATTGTTGTTCAGTAAGTTACAAATAGAAACAACATCTGTGGAGTTGGAAGATCTGGCTGAAATGCCTTGTCTTTAATTTCATGAAGCTCAGGACAAAGCAGATCCCATGGGTACGGCAAGAAGCTTTCTTCCAGCCTACCAAATGGCACACTGCAACCTGATGTACAACAAAGAAGTTGGGTTTAACTTAAGAAAATGAGAAAGCTCAAAGTGTCTGTCTCCAGAGATTCATATCTGTGCTGAGTGGTGCTTCAAGCTGCAGCTAAAGCTTGAAACCATTAGGCTGTGGGCTGCACCCCTATGCAGAGCAGTAAAACATTTCATAAACAATCTAAAGGTTTGGCTGATGCTTTTTTGTGTGTGTGTCGTGTTCAGGGGAAGTTAAGGAGATAATTCATTGTTGTGTATTTGGTCCTGTATTAAAACAAATGTACTTCACATGAAGTGAGCGTTAGAATGCATTTATGGTTTCTTACGCTAGTTTAACTGTTGTCCTTTTGTGTTCGTTTTGGTTTTGGTTTGGTTTGGTTTTTTTTGAAAGCCTTCCTTAGCCAAGTGCCCTTTATTTCAGGTGGTTCTCCTTTCTTGTTTCACTTTTTATTCAACAGTGAATGGAGGGTGAACTAATGTCTTTCCTAGCACTGAAGTATTTAAGGAAAAAGGCTTGCTAGTGTGTTCTGGATTAAATTATTTATTCAAGTTACAGCATACTTAATTGCCGTTCAAACCAAGTAGATGTCACATGTATTGATCGGTGTGCAAGTCTTCTGAAACTGCATTTAATTGCAGATGAGTTGCCTAGTCAGTCATGGAGCCTTCCGGGATTCCATAAAACAACAAAGGAAAGGGCAGGCTCTATTCAGTAAACCATGATAGCCAGATGCTTTATTTAGCTTGTGGCAATTTACAGGAAATGAGTTGGATTTTTGTTTTGGACTTCAACAAATAAAAAGCTACTCCCCTCAGAAAATTGGGACTAACACAGTTCAAATATGCAGGGTAGCCTAGATTTCAGATTATTTTGGAATGCTTCTCCGTATGTTCTTTCATTCTGCGTTGATGTGGAGGGGGAAGGTGAAGAAAACAACCAAGTGTTCATCCATCAGTAGAGTTCTTACTCTGAATAAGTAATCTGTTTTACAGGTTGCAGGGAATGTTTCATGCAGCAGGCTGTTTGCTGTCTTTGAACAGAAAAATGATCCTTGGTTTATAGAGTTTTCATTAGATTTCATAGCTAGGAAATTGTATTAAAAAAAACCTTGCCAATGCAAAACTATTTTTATATAGCTTCATGAGCGAACTGTTTAGTTTTAGTATTCTATGTCTGTACCTGAGGGTACATGAGGGTAGCATATATTTACTTGCATCTTAATTGAAAAATTAATCCAGTTAGGTCTGTTTGTCATGTCACCTGGTGCTGCAAGACAGGAAAAATGCCTAATGAGAAACAGGGAAATCATTGATGTTAGCAGGAAGGCAACACATGAGCTGGGACACAACCATGGATTAAGCCCAGTTTCATTCAAGGGCTCTGTATATTAATGAGTCAGCTGCCTGTGACTTTGTCAGAGTTGTTGCAAGCCTATGATAATTTTGTAGGTCTTCCCTGTAGTCCTTCATTGCCCACTGTGGTGGCTCAACAGCTGGGCTAATGTGAGAGTACTGTTTTCCAGGATTTTACAGATTACATGCAAGTTGATTAAAACAGCTAATGGTAACAGTGTTCCCAGTTCTAGGTAGCTGGGAGAGGGGTGAATGGTGCTTCCCTAATAGTCTATTTTAGAAGGGGAAAAGGTAAATCTTTATTCATCTCTTAATGGAAACTGGCTGCTGTACAAGAGACCTAGCTGTAGTTCAGGGGTGCCTGGTAGGGATTTCTTACTCCTGCTAAGAACCAAGGTTCATTAGTCTGCACAGCACACTACGTTAGTATATCTCTAGCACTCTGCTGGAAGTAGTTCAAATTCAAAAATTCAGTTTTTCCTCTCTGTACATAGTCATTGTCTGCTGTGGGCAAATATCTTACCAGCTTTATCTTAAGACACCTAACTTGGCAACTTCTGCAAGTTTGCCTGCATATACCGAGTGTTGAAGCTTCTATTACAGGTGGTAGAGCTGTATTCAATACGTGTTGTGGAGTCTCAATAGCTATTCAGCCTACTCCACACCTACATTAAACTCCACTGAGTGTAATAGGAGCTTAGTCACCTGGTCCACATATAGGCAATTCCATTTAGGTGTTGTCTGGAGGCAAATCCTAACCATCCTTTCCAGTGTCTTCAAGGATACAGTAGTCCTACAGTTTTCATCTGCCACTTCTGCATGATAACTACTTTTAGGGTGTTTAAATCCAGCATTGCCCCACATGTAGCTGTAAATAGCCTTATCCTAAGGGCCTGTCCTTGCCCTTTAACCCTTTAAGTATATGGAAGTGCATCTCAAAGTTCAGTGTAGTCTTTTGTGTTGTCTTACACAGGTAGTGTGTATGATACGGCTGTCATGAGCTATGAAATGTTGCTATTGCCCCAAGGACTCTCTTTATTTTGCCTGTTACAGAGCCCTGCCGGTGTTGTTAACTGAGCAATGTGTGGTTTCCTTGCCATAACCTCTGAGATCTGCACTTGCAATGGTGTTCAGGATTCCTTCTAGCTTAAGTGAATAGGAATCCTAAGCTCACAACACAACTAATCAGAGGAACTGATCTTTATTAACTGCCAAGCTCAATTGCAAGAATAGGTCTACAGAAAAGGTGATCCAGGTCTTTATAAAAAATTCCTAAATTGGGAGGCAAATTGCATTTATCAAAATAGTCCAGCTTGTAAAAGCCTGAAATACTAGTAAAGGAAAAAAATCAACTCAACCCTACCCTACCTGGTACTTGATAGTACAAAAGGGAGATGAGTTGTTTTCTAGCAGGCAGCTTGGACCACTGTAATATGGCATTGGAAGTCAGACCTCTGCCAAACTGTCAGTGAATTTGATCTAGAAATGCATACTGAGGTGCCATTCACTGCTTAGCAAAACACTGACAAGAAAGAGTGAGCCACTGTCTAGATCAATGTCAGAAAGACAAATAAGCATAAAATAAAATTTGTAGGTGTTTAGCAGATACTTGACAGTCTTCGGATTTATTTTTTGTTGTTGTTGTTGTTTGGGATTTTTTTGGTGGTGGTGGTTTGTTTGTTATATATTTGGGTCACATTTATATAATTTCATAGGAAATCACCTTCAAGCAGCTGTAAAGGATCTGTGTTCTATAAAATCTACCACAGAAGGCTACTGACTACCCCTGGTACTTTGTCAAAAATACGTAAGGAACTATTATGAAAATCCAACAGACAGAAAAGTACAAGGGGGAGAGAAAGTCATACAAGATAATAATAAAAATAACAAAAACCCTCCAGGTTGGTAGCTGCTCTTCAAGCTGTTACTACTGTGTAAAGCCACTGTAGCAAATAACATTTTCTGAACTGCCTGAGCTATGACAAGGGTCCAGACATTTAGGCTATGTCATTACTGAGTTGGTATAAGACAACTTGGACAATTTTGAGGCCTGTTGTATTTGCTAACCTG